CAACGTTGCTACCACCAGCTCCACCACGCAGGCTTGCTGCCTCGATGTTCTCTTTAAATACGACCTCTCCTTCATGCCTCATGTTCAGTCTATCACCAAATCCTGTCGTTTCCATCTCAAAAACATTGCGTGCATCTGACCCTACTTAACACGAGATGCGACTAAGATGCTGGTCCATTCCATTGTCCTTTCTCTCTTTGACTACTGTAATCCACTTCTCAGTGGTCTTACATGCTCCCAACTTGCACCGTTACAGTCCATAATGAATGCGGCAGCGAGGCTCATCTTCCTGTCCAACCGCACCTCCCACGCCTCACCTTTCTGTCAGTCCCTACATTGGCTTCCTGTCAGATATGGGGCTCAATTTCAAATTCTGGCTCTTGCTTTCAAATCTCTATATATCTATGTACCTATCTATCCTCACTAATACACAAGTATGTCCCGTCTAGGCCCTCACGCTCTGCTGAAGACTTACGTCTATCTCCTGTCCGTACCACCTTTGATGTTCACCTTCAAGACTTCTCCAGGGCTGCACCGTTCCTGTGGAACTCACTTCCTTCCTCCGTTAGATGCTCACCCAGTCTCCACTCATTAAAAAAAATCATTAAAAACCCACTTCTTCATAAAAGCGTATAAATTAAACTGTTAATAGCTCCCGACTGATTCCTCTCTTGCAACTGTCATTAGTCTAATACTATCCTTACCTTTTGAGTCACTTTACCCCACTCCCTCTAGCATGTAAGCTCATTGAGCAGGGCCCTCAACCCCTCTGTTCCTGTGTGTCCAACTTGTCTGGTTACAACTACATGTCTGTTCATCCACCCACTGTAAAGCGCTATGGAATTTGTTGGCCCTATATAAATAATAACATAATAATAATAATAATAATAATAATAATAATAATGTATGGAATATCATTGCGTACCATCCTATCACCAAGATCCAGTAAGTCCACCAATGTGTGGAGACACTCCAGATCTTTGGGCTAAAAGCCCAAACTTTGGGCTTTAGTTTCATTACGCAATGCATGATATTTATACAGTGCTAACTTCCTTACAGAAAGATGTACATCTTTTGTCCAGATGAATTTCTTAAAAGTGGGGATGGGGACAAAAGACAGCCCCTTATCCAACACCCTCAATTGAACAGGCGTGAGAATTAATTTGAGAATTATCTGTGTCTCCGCTGACCCTGGGCCCGATTTCTGGTCCGTGGGCCTTGAGTTAAATCTGCCTGTCAGAGTCCCAAAAAATCCACACCCTTCTTAAGAATACTTTTGGGAGGGTTGTGGTGTGTGGATGTTTGGGGAGCAGCTCCATTTTCAGTTTCTGTATCTGTAGATTATGCGGGGATATAACTTTTGTGGGGTTCCTGGTTGTGGTGGGGGCGCTTTTGGGGTACTGTATGTTTTGTGTAGATTTTCTGTACCTGAGAGATAATTAAATGTAGAATATTGCGTATTCTATGTTTCTACTGATTATATATGGATGTGTGGATTGACATAAGTAACAGATGGTATCAATAAGTCACAAGGCTTTCTTTGTCCGAGAGCTCTGGAATTTGGATTCAGGGGGTCTTTTCCTTATATGGCTAGAGTTAAATGCTGACGTTAGTATTAGCACATCTTTATAGTAACAGAGGGACACGAGGTCGCACTCTTGGCTTGGCTCTTGGCTCTGTACAACGATGTAACTCTCCCATCAGAAGTACAGCAATTACCATCTGCTGTTGAATGTCCATAATCCTGTAACATCATTTGTTGTTTTATGTATCCGTAACTAAGAATAAACCTGAAGAAACCGTAAGTCAGATTGCGTATTACTACTTTTCAATAATATAGACATATATTATTGTGGCGAGCATTTGGCCCAAGAATATATATACAAAAGACGTATATATATCAATCAACTGAAGATAAGAAGAAATTAAGAAGATTCTACATTAACACCCATTCAATCATCTACATTTTTTACATTAAATTATGGGTTTTTCTCTCAGGCACAACGCATATTTTTTTATTGGAGACCCTATGTAGGGAGTTCAGGAGTTTAGGTATACGAACCTCCTCCATTTGTCTCCCGAATGAGGACCACCCCAGTTCCCCATTAGAACGTTCACACCAGCAACTTAAGTGCAAAACAGCAAGAGAAGTAATTAGTAAATGCTTCCCCTGGGTGGCCGCCATTTCATATAACTGAATGCACGTGGTCGACAAAAGAATGGCAGCCATTTTGTCTCATGAACGTGGGCAGCGGTACTTGGTCGTCGACCACTGCCCGTTCTAATTCCTGACCAACTATGCTAACGGCATTTGGGAGATATGAACTACCGAACAGGGGGAGCATTTGTACCCTGAAATTAAGACAATCCCTTGTATGGTGTTCGCACAGGAACCCCTGAACAGAGACCAGCCAGGACACCTATTTCCCTGGAACTGTTTTGGGCTAGTGCCTCCTGCTTGGCCGGTCAAAGCTTTACCCCGATGGCATTCCCGTTTCACCAAACCAATCTTTGCAGAGGTCATCTTTACACCTTTGGGGACCCTAAAGGGGCCGACCAGCTCTCTTCCCATGATTCCGGCCCAAAACATGACTCCACCACCGCCTTGCTGACGTCGCAGCCTTATTGGAACAGGGTGGCCGTCCACCAACCATCCACTACTCCATCCATCTGGACCATCCAGGATTGCATGGCACTCATCAGTGAACAGGACTGTTTGAAAATTAGTCTTCATGTATTTTTCTGCCCAATGCAGCCGTTTTTGCCTGTGAGCATTGGTTAGTGGTGGCCTAATAGAATAGAATTTAGCAGTTGCTCTCTTGATCCGATGCATGGATCTGGCAGAAATCTTCCTCAATGTGCCTTCATCTGCACGAACCCGTCTGTTATGGCTCTGAATCAGCCATAAATCTCTTAATAGTGCAATGATCACACTTAAGTTTTCGTGAAATATCTAATGTTTTTATACCTCGTCCAAGGCATTGAACTATTTCACTCTTTTTGGAAGCAGAAAGATCCTTTTTCTTCCCCATATTGCATGAAAATGGTGCTCTGCTTAATAATGTGGAACACCCTCCTTAAATAGTTTTTCCTTAAATTGGGCTCATCTGGCAATCTAATTATCACAGGTGTCCGAGATTGTTTTCAGTGATCAAAAGAGCCCTGAGACACCATGCCATCCATGAGTTAAACTGAAAAACAAAATATTTAATCTTTGTGACACTTAAATAGAATTTGCATAATAATTTGGAACAGGGTGTAGACGAACGTCTAGAAGAAAACCAGTATATTTGGCGTTAACCTTTCCTTCTCCTGAGTCTGCTGCTGTAGCTTTTCCTGAACCTATGCAGTTGGGGCTTACTAGATTATCTGAAGCTGAAAAACAATTCAGGAGAAAGGAAGGTACAGTGAAAGAAAAAATTTGAACCCTTGCTGATTTTGAACGTTTTCCCACTGACAAAAAAATTATCAGTCTATAATTTTAATGGTAGTGGTATTTTAACAGTAGATGTATTTGAGAGACAGAATAACAAAAATAAAAAAAATTCTGAAAAACGCATGTCAAAAAAGGTATAAAGTGATTTGTATGTCTGACGGACCGCCTGGCACCCCGACTGGGTGCCTCCGCCAATCAATGCTTTCTAGTATTCTCGAGTACTTCCAAGCACTCCACCTGACACTATAACTACTGCAGTCCACGTGGCCAGTGTTACAGCTTGGCTGGGGTCTCTCTGTCTTCCGTCCACCCTGGACCCAAGTCAGGGATCCAGCTTCCAGTGAGTCGACCTCTCCTCCAAGAGAGTGTAGCAGTATGCTCTTAAAGTAGCAAGTGATTATAATCCAAGGGTGTATAGTGATTATAGCAATCCCCAGAGTAGTGAATATAGCTGTCCCCTCCACACATGAGAGGAGGCTCTATGTTGAGGGTGAAGAGGAACTCCTTTAATGGCAGCCACAACTGGCCTTATATGCAAGGGATTTACTCTAACATATTCCAGGGACATTACCCACTGGACCTGAGAGGAGACTATAGCAAAGTACACACTTTACTTACATTGGCTCTCAGGTCCAGGACACTCCCACACAAAACAGAGATAATTGAATCAGGAACTGTACTAAACTCAATTATCTTCAGACACAGAAAACACACATTTTAACAACCTCCTTAAAGTACCCCCAAAACACATGGAAGCCCCACAAAGTCACATTCTCTGATGGCCCCGATCTGGGGGACCAACATATCTAAAAATCATTCTGGATCGGTTCAAGGGTTCGGGATTTCCATGGAGGTCATAATTTGACCGACCGCACACGAGGCTCCTGCCCAGAAGAGTTCCATGAAATCAGGCTGTGTGGTCAGTCTCTTTCGGGAGTTCACAATACAACAATATATAAGAATGAAACTGTTTGTACATGCTTTCAATCTGTGTACCTTGTTCGGGAGCTTGTTCCCACCGAACGCTGCTTTTTTTCATGTGAATCCAGCCAAACGTACGAAGAGATGGAAGTCCCAGCAATGTTCGCCCTGTCGAGTCTCCGATTATAGTTTCATGCACTCGATGACCAAACACTGCTGTACATGTTTGCAGCTAAAGATGGCCGCCATCATGTGTTCGCACATACGAACGACCACCAGCCAGTCAACAACTTAGAATGTTGCAATTAAGGTGTTGATAGGGGTCAAAAGAGTCAACAAGCAGCACATAACTCTCCTGGGTGGTCTGGCTGTTCGGAAGTTAATTTGGGATATGAACCCAATAAGCATAATCTGTTCAGGGAATCCCATATACTGAACCAGCTAAGTCAAAAGGTATGAACAAAGCCTTTTTAAAGCACATTGACCAAGGTCCATCACAGGGACCATAGTCCTGAGGCAAGAGGCTGGCCAGCAGGCCCCTCCAAGAGTACGTGGCAGAGGAATTTCTGCCACAATGTCAGTGAGTGAAATAAGTATTTGATCCCATATCAATCAGCAAGATTTCTGGCCCCCAGGTGTCTTTTATACAGGTAACGAGCTGAGATTAGGAGCACTTTCTTTTAAAAGGAGTGCTCCTAATCTCAGCTCGTTACCTGTATAAAAGACACCTGTCCACAGCAGCAATCAATTAATCAGATTCCAAACTGTCCACCATGGCCAAGACCAAAGAGCTGTCCAAGGATGTCAGGGACAAGATTCTAGACCTACACAAGGCTGGAATGGGCTACAAGACCATCACCAAGCAGCTTGGTGAGAAGATGACAACAGTTGGTGCAATTATTCGCAAATGGAAGAAACACGAAATAACTGTCAGTCTTCCTCAGTCTCGTGCTCCATGCAAGATCTCACCTCGTGGAGTTTTAATGATCATGAGAATGGTGAGGAATCAGCCCAGAACTACATAGGAGGATCTTGTTAATGATCTCAAGGCAACTAGGCCCATAGTCACCAAGAATACAATTGATAACACACAGTCAGGGCCGGATTAACATAGGGGCTGATGGAGCTGCAGCTCCAGGCCCAGGCCCATGGAATAGGCCCATTGATTTATTTAAAAAAAAAAAGGTTTTTTTTTTACATTTTTTTTTTCACACACTACTCTTAGTGATTCCACCTGGCTTTTATTTTATTTACACAGTGTCCCCATGTCTCCCAGTGTCCCCATGTCTCCCAGCCAGTGTCCATGGTGTCTCAGTGCCCCCAGTCTGCCAGTGTCTCACTGTCCCCATGTCTCCTAGTGCCTCCATGTCTCCCAATGCCTCAAATGTCTCAATGTCCCCATGTCTCCAAGCTAGTGTCCCTGGTGTCCTTGTCCCCATGTCTCCCGGTGCCCCCATGTCTCAATGTCCCCATGTCCCCCAGCCAGTGTCTCTAGTGTCTGTGTCCCTGGTGTCTGTATCCCCATGTCTTCAAGTGTCCCCTATTTTCCCAGTGTCCCCATGCGTCCCAGCCAGAGTCCCCTAGTCTCCCAGTGTCACTGGTGTCTCCGTGTCCCTAGGTCTCCCTGTTTCCCCAGGTCTTCCTAGTGACATGGGGACCCTGGCATACATGGGGACACAGGGAGACATGGAGCATTGAGACACTGTGATTCATAGGATCCCTGGGAGACCTGGGGACACGACACTAGGGGACACTGGGAGACATGGGGCACTGAGACACTGATACATAGGAACACTGAGACCTGGAGTAATCGACACATGGGGGCACTGGGAGACATGGGACCACTGAGAGAAATCCATCTATACGGCAGAATCAAACTAAAAAGTTTATTGGTGATTTTACAGCATTTTCTCTTATGTCACTCCTTGTGATTTACATCATGTCACCCATACATATTTAATTATGCAAATTAGCAAGGCCAGTATGTTTTTCCAAGAAAGGTGGCAACCCTAACTACTTTTCACATACTCTTACTTAAGTATGGAAACTTAAGAGGGATGTATGGGAACACAACTTGTGTGGACTGGCTGACAATGAATATAGAGTCACTAGAGTCACCAGAACAACTACTTATTGAATTTGTTCTGTTGAGTAGAACCATTACCGTCAGGCTTTTTGCTGTAAACACTGTCTTTTCAGAGAAAATGCAGTCTTTACATTACAGCCTAGTGATAACTTCACTGGCCACTCCTTAGATGGCTGTTAGAGATCCTTCCTGGGTCATGGCTGCCCAAAATGCATGCAGACACTGAACTTTCCTCATAGAGATTAATTGATTCAATTCATCTCTATGAGGAGATGCTGATTGGCCAGGGCTGTGTTTGAATCATGCTGGCTCTGCCCCTGATCTGCTTCTTTGTCAGTCTCAGCCAATCCTATGGGGAAGCACTGTGATTGGATTAGACCACCACTTCTAATGATGTCAGCAGACTGTTTGTTTTTCTGAGTCTAACAGCATGCAGAGTTACAGCTTCAGGCTTGAATACTGTAAGATTTTGCTATATTTATGGAGGTATAAGGGGCCCAGGGGGGCTAAATGGTGGTGTTAACACTATAGGGTCATGAATTCATGTTTGTGTTCCCGACCCTATAGTGATCCTTTAAGGTAATGCTGACTTTGGTCTTTCTAACACTTTGGCATGTTCCTTTTCTTCTACACTCACTACATACAGCTTTTCTCTGTCCCAGACTATATACCAGGAGCTTCTGCCTGCTAGTAAGAAGGTAAAGAGACAAGTGGACCAGCGAGTGCTAGGGGACAGTCCTTAGAAAGCGTTGAGCAAGCCCATCATTAGATGCATTTATGCCAAGCTCAGGGTGCTGTCTGCATAGTATGCCCTTAGTTGGCCAGCTGCATGATTGGCAGGCAGCCAGACATGCATTCATACCAGGCTGGCCTTCTAATTCTTTTGGCAGTCATATCCTCTTTTTGGGCATGTTCGCCACTTTTGGCAGGTTATGTGATTTGTGTCAGTGGCGCACCCTTTTACCGTGCCCATTGACTTCTTGCTTGACTGGACACTGCTGTTAGGGGTTATGGATTTACTTGAAAGATGAAAACATAAATTAGTGAGAGATTAGCCTAGGGTATGTGTTTTCTTATAGCTGCTGTTTTCTTTCTCTCCAGCACCATCTCCATCAGATACATGACGCTTGGGAGTGTTTTACTATTTTTGGTCGATATGATTCTGTAATTAGGCCCATCATAATTGTCAGCACCAGGCCCAATGGGCTCTTAATCTGGCCCTGCACACAGTGAAGGACTGAAATCATGCAGCGCCTGCAAGGTCCCCCTGTTCAAGAAAGCACATGTACAGGCCCATCTGATGTTTGCTAATAAACATCTGAATGATTCAAAGGAGACCTGGGTGAAAGTGTTGTGGTCAGAAGAGAATAAAATCGAGCTCTTTGGCATCAACTCAACTCGCCGTGTTTGAAGGAGGAGGAATGCTGCTTATGATGAAGGGGTCAAATACTTATTTCACTCATTGACATGCAAATCAATTTATAACTTCTTTGACATGCGTTTTTCTGGATTTTTGTGTTTTGTTTTTCTGTCTCTCACTGTTAAAATACATCTACCATTAAAATTATAGACTGATTATTTCTTTGTCAGGGGCAAACGTTCAAAATCAGCAGGTGATCAAATACTTTTTCCCTTCACTGTATTTGTTTATATTGTTGGAAAAAGGGGCATCTATGGTTACCATTTCCAAACAGGCTGGAAAACTACCGCACCTAAGACCTCTTGGAGAGCAGAACATGGGTGTAATAAACATGCTATCTAGCGTTGAGCAAACCCGAACCGCAAAGTTCGGGTTCATACCGAACTTTACAGTTTTTGGACCCCGAACACGGACATTTCAGTGCATGTTCGTGTTTGAGTTCATTGTTCGGCGATTTAATGGCGCATTTTGAAAGGCTGCAGGGCAGCCAATCTACAAGCGTTTGACTTGTTTGCCCTTAGAAGTCATCACAGCCATGCCTACTAATGGCATGGCTGTGATTGGGCAGTGCAGCATGTGACCCAGCCTCTATATATAAGCTGGAATTGCGTAGTGCCGCACGCACATGAGCTCTTATTAGTGTAGGGAGAGGATGCTGCAGCTGTTAGGGACAGATTAGGAAAGAAGTCTGGTGTTGAATCTGCAAACTACAGCGATTATTCAAACTACAGCAATTATTCATACTACAACGATTATGTTAGTGGGTGCTATACTACATTTTTGTACCCTGCCCTGAGCCCAGTGCCACAGAGAGTGCAGTGCACTTGCAACTGCATGTGTGCCAGGCACATGACTTTAATCCTGTTCTGGTAGCTTAGTGGGCAACATCTAGGCATTTTTAAGTACTGCAATTTTTTTGCTGCTAAATAGAACATTTGCGTACTGCATTTCTTGCAGTCTAATAAAACCCTTAAATACTACTGTTACATTGTTGGTTTAAAAAATCACACTTTTTTGTGCTAAATAGTACATTTGCGTCCTGCGGTGCACTTCATATCTGAGAGTCAAATAAAACCGTCAAACACTGTGCTTTCAGCGCACTTTGAAAAATTCTAATTGTTTTGGGTGCTAATGCTAAATAGTACATTTGCGTCATGTGGTGCACTTCATATCTGAGAGTCAAATAGAACCATAAAACACTGTGCTTTCAGTGCACTTTGAAAAATTCTAATTGTTTTGGCTGCTAATGCTAAATAGTACATTTGCGTCCTGCGGTGCACTTCATATCTGAGAGTCAAATAGAACCGTCAAACACTGTGCTTTCAGTGCACTTTTAAAAATTCTAATTGTTTTGGGTGCTAATGCTAAATAGTACATTTGCGTCCTGTGGTGCACTTCATATCTGAGAGTCAAATAGAACCGTCAAATACTGTGCTTTCAGCACACTTTGAAAAATTCTAATTGTTTTGGATGATAAAAAGGAAATTTGGGGTATGCACTTCATATCTGAGAGTCAAAAAGAACTGTCAAATAATGTGCTTTCAGCGCATGTTGAAAAATTCAAATTGTTTTGAGTGATAAAAAGTAAATTTGGGATGTGCACTTCATATCTTAGTGTCAAATAGAACCATCAAATACTGTGCTTTCAGCGCACTTTGAAAAATTAAAATTGTTTTTGGTGATAAAAAGTAAATTTGGGGTGTGCACTTTATATCTGAGAGTCAAATAGAAGCGTCAAATACTGTGCTTTCAGCGCACTTTGAAAATTTCAAATTGTTTTGGGTGCTAATGTTAAATAGTACATTTGCGACCTGCTGTGCACTTCATATCTGAGAGTCAAATAGAACTGTCAAACACTGTGCTTACAGCGCACTTTGAAAAATTCTAATTGTTTTGGGTGATAAAAAGTAAATTTGGGGTGTGCACTTCATATCTGAGAGTGAAATAGAACCGTCAAACACTGTGCTTACAGCGCACTTTGAAAAATGCAATTTGTTTTGGGCGATAAAAAGTAAATTTGGGGTGTGCACTTCATATCTGAGAGTGAAATAGAACCGTCAAATACTGTGCTTTCAGCGCACTTTGAAAAATTCTAATTGTTTTGGGTAATAAAAAGTAAATTTGGGGTGTGCACTTTACATCTGAGAGTCAAATAGAACCCTCAAATACTGTGCTTTCAGCGCACTTTGCAAAATTCAAATTGTTTTGGGTGCTAATGCTAAATTGTATATTTGCGTCCTGCGGTGCACTTCATATCTGAGAGTCAAATAGAACCGTCACTGTGCTTACAGCGCACTTTGAAAAATTCTAATTGTTTTGGGTGCTAATGCTAAATAGTACATTTGCGTCCTGTGGTGCACTTCATATCTGAGAGTCAAATAGAACCGTCAAATACTGTGCTTTCAGCGCACTTTGAAAAATTCTAATTGTTTTGGATGATAAAAAGGAAATTTGGGGTATGCACTTCATATCTGAGAGTCAAAAAGAACTGTCAAATAATGTGCTTTCAGCGCATGTTGAAAAATTCAAATTGTTTTGAGTGATAAAAAGTAAATTTGGGATGTGCACTTCATATCTTAGAGTCAAATAGAACCATCAAATACTGTGCTTTCAGCGCACTTTGAAAAATTAAAATTGTTTTTGGTGATAAAAAGTAAATTTGGGGTGTGCACTTTATATCTGAGAGTCAAATAGAAGCGTCAAATACTGTGCTTTCAGCGCACTTTGAAAATTTCAAATTGTTTTGGGTGCTAATGTTAAATAGTACATTTGCAAACTGCTGTGCACTTCATATCTGAGAGTCAAATAGAACTGTCAAACACTGTGCTTACAGCGCACTTTGAAAAATTCTAATTGTTTTGGGTGATAAAAAGTAAATTTGGGGTGTGCACTTCATATCTGAGTGTGAAATAGAACCGTCAAACACTGTGCTTACAGCGCACTTTGAAAAATGCAATTTGTTTTGGGCGATAAAAAGTAAATTTGGGGTGTGCACTTCATATCTGAGAGTCAAATAGAACCGTCAAATACTGTGCTTTCAGCGCACTTTGAAAAATTCTAATTGTTTTGGGTAATAAAAAGTAAATTTGGGGTGTGCACTTTACATCTGAGAGTCAAATAGAACCCTCAAATACTGTGCTTTCAGCGCACTTTGCAAAATTCAAATTGTTTTGGGTGCTAATGCTAAATTGTATATTTGCGTCCTGCGGTGCACTTCATATCTGAGAGTCAAATAGAACCGTCACTGTGCTTACAGCGCACTTTGAAAAATTCTAATTGTTTTGGGTGCTAATGCTAAATAGTACATTTGCGTCCTGCGGTGCACTTCATATCTGAGAGTCAAATAGAACCGTCAAATGCTGTGCTTTCAGCGCACTTTGAAAAATTCTAATTGTTTTGGGTGCTAATGCTAAATTGTATATTTGCGTCCTGCGGTGCACTTCATATCTGAGAGTCAAATAGAACCGTCACCGTGCTTACAGCGCACTTTGAAAAATTCTAATTGTTTTGGGTGCTAATGCTAAATAGTACATTTGCGTCCTGTGGTGCACTTCATATCTGAGAGTCAAATAGAACCGTCAAATACTGTGCTTTCAGAGCACTTTGAAAAATTCTAATTGTTTTGGATGATAAAAAGGAAATTTGGGGTATGCACTTCATATCTGAGAGTCAAAAAGAACTGTCAAATAATGTGCTTTCAGCGCATGTTGAAAAATTCAAATTGTTTTGAGTGATAAAAAGTAAATTTGGGATGTGCACTTCATATCTTAGAGTCAAATAGAACCATCAAATACTGTGCTTTCAGCGCACTTTGAAAAATTAAAATTGTTTTTGGTGATAAAAAGTAAATTTGGGGTGTGCACTTTATATCTGAGAGTCAAATAGAAGCGTCAAATACTGTGCTTTCAGCGCACTTTGAAAATTTCAAATTGTTTTGGGTGCTAATGTTAAATAGTACATTTGCAAACTGCTGTGCACTTCATATCTGAGAGTCAAATAGAACTGTCAAACACTGTGCTTACAGCGCACTTTGAAAAATTCTAATTGTTTTGGGTGATAAAAAGTAAATTTGGGGTGTGCACTTCATATCTGAGTGTGAAATAGAACCGTCAAACACTGTGCTTACAGCGCACTTTGAAAAATGCAATTTGTTTTGGGCGATAAAAAGTAAATTTGGGGTGTGCACTTCATATCTGAGAGTCAAATAGAACCGTCAAATACTGTGCTTTCAGCGCACTTTGAAAAATTCTAATTGTTTTGGGTAATAAAAAGTAAATTTGGGGTGTGCACTTTACATCTGAGAGTCAAATAGAACCCTCAAATACTGTGCTTTCAGCGCACTTTGCAAAATTCAAATTGTTTTGGGTGCTAATGCTAAATTGTATATTTGCGTCCTGCGGTGCACTTCATATCTGAGAGTCAAATAGAACCGTCACTGTGCTTACAGCGCACTTTGAAAAATTCTAATTGTTTTGGGTGCTAATGCTAAATAGTACATTTGCGTCCTGCGGTGCACTTCATATCTGAGAGTCAAATAGAACCGTCAAATGCTGTGCTTTCAGCGCACTTTGAAAAATTCTAATTGTTTTGGGTGATAAGTAAATTTGGGGTGTGCACTTCATATCTGATAATCAAATATAGAGTCAAATAGAATCATCAAATACTGTGGTTACAGCGCAGTTTGACCAATTAAAAATTTTTGGGGTGCTAAATAGTACATTTGCGGCCTGCACTTCATATCTGACAGTCAAATAGAACCGTCAAATACCAATATAACAATATTGTAATTCGGGGGCAATACCCTCACAAGTCAAACTGAAAGGGTCAGTTTATAGGGATAACTGTTGCCTGGATACAATTCTAAAACAATTCCCATATGTCCTTTGCAGAGTTTATATGCTGGAAAAACACAGGTGCCAACTGCTGTGGCTTTCTGCAGTGTGCAGACCGGCAAGGATGGCAGGTTGAGGAGTGAGTGGAAGATGATGTGGAGGATGATGAGGTCCTAGACACCACATGGAATCAAGGTCATGCGAGTGACCAGCACAGCAAGGGACCAGCACAGCATAAGAGGGAGCAGGGTGCAAAAGCGGAGAGGCCGTCCCTTAGCGCTCGTTGGCATGTATTATCTCGAGAATTACCAGTTATCCAAGTAACAGATGGAGCGATCAAAGGATCCATAATAGAGTTGAACGAACCCGAACTGCAAGGTTCGGGTTCGTACCAGATTTAATGAGCCATTCAAAGTTTCACATTGAGGGCAGCAGTCCGGTGACAAGAACCCAGACACTGTGATTAGGTGTCACAGTTTTAAATGGATTATTAGGGTCTGGTGCAGGGTAACCGCACGCCCCCTGGGTTGAGCACCAGCGTTTGTGCGGCCACATACCAGGACTCTGATGCAGCTTCAGTAAAAAGAGTACTGGATACCACAAGCCATCACCAGACAACTTGGAACAGGTTGTGACATTCATTGTAGCAGCTGTGCGCGCTTTTGGCGTTCTCACCCTGCTGCTGCTCCCCTGTCTGCGCTGCAGCATAACTTTGGCCTTCCCGCTCACCACCTCATATGTGACGTGCCCACAAGGTGGAACTCCACCTTGGACATGCTGGAGAGACTGTGCGAGCAGCAGCAGGCGATAGTGGAGTTTCAGCTGCAGTACGCACGGGTCAGTTGCTCTGCACCAGACTTGCCCTCCAATTGATCATAGTTAATGGATTTCAAGTGGACTCTACAATTACAGGGCCTCTAAAGAGTCCTGTATTGTTATTTGTCGTCACTACCTCCCCGCGTCGGGAGTAAGTAATTTGCGCGCCTACTGCCTTCCTTGGATGTGGTAGCCGTTTCTCAGGCTCCCTCTACGGAATCGAACCCTGATTCCCCGTTAGCTTCAGCAGCTTCAGCAGCTCTTACCAGTACTTCTTGGGTGTGGGGCTGGCGGTCTCTCACCATCCGTGTCATTGGGGAGCCCATTGAAAAAATGCTCTAGCATGACGAGCTGGGTGATCCCCTCTGGGAACTTGGCTTGATGGGAGTTGAGCCAGTTCTGGGTGGCCCTTGTGATGCGGCATGCCCATTCCGCATGGGAGTCCTTCTCCCCTTTCCAGGTCTCCCTAAACTTTCGTCGGTATTGCTCTGGGGTGACCGTATACCGGGCCAGGAGGATTTGTGTAATAAAGGGATAGTCTCTGATCTGCTCTTCTGGTACAGCCCGGTAAATATCCGCTGCCTTCCCCACTAGTTTGCTGGCCAGGATGGTGACCCAGTCGCTGGGGTCCACGCCTTGGAGTAGGCACTGGCACTCAAAGTCTTGTAAAAATTAATCGATGCCTTCTTCTGCTTCCTTGAACTCTTTGAAGGCATTGTATGGGAGCTTGTGGGCCAGGGTGGTTGTGCTTCCCGGCGCCCTCTGCTCCCTTCTTCCTTCATCTGGGTTCATGGAGGTCACCCTCTGTCTATTGGCAAGGACATAGGCTTGCACCTCCAAAAAAGTCCTGCTGACAATCTCCTCTGAGGGTGGCTCTCGGTAATATGCCAGGTGCCGTTCCACCTCCTTGCGCACTTCCTCCTCATCTCCGGCCCCTGGCTGGGGTTCATTGCCTCACTGCGTGCCTGGTCATCCTCCATGAGCGCAGCAGTGAATTCGGCCTTGTTACGCCCACCAGGCGTTATTCCTCTGGCTCCACACAAGTCCTGCAGAGCACTGTAGTCCATGGGTCTGTTGGCAGGGACATGGGATCTCGCCTCTTGCCACCAATTGAAGTGGGACCTGGGTAACCAATGGTTATCCCCTTTGATTAGAATAGGTCAGACCCATTTCCCCAGTAACCGGATAGGACACAGTTCCAGGATACAACGTTTGGCCATCTTTATTTGGGTACACAGCTTTGCCTCCTGTTGCCTCCTCCTCCTACTCCGCTTCCTCCTCCTCTACCACCTCCTCATCCGGTCAGCGTAACACCTTCACCTCCAACTTCAGCACAGCCAGGGGGAAACGACAGCAGGCTGTTTTCAAACTCATATGTTTGGGGGAAAAAACCACACACCGCGCAGGAGCTGTGGAATCTTTGCCTTCTTTCCCTATCGTTCTAGGTTTTCCATGGCTCACCAAACATAAACATGTGGTAAACTGGGAGAATAATGAGATAAAAACTAGCTTATTTTAGCTTATTTTCAGGGGATGCTCGTAATATAAGACATACTCCAAAAAAAAGTCCTAGTCACTAGTTTGCTAATCTAGATTTGCGGGTTTCCATTCACGAGTAAACAAATTTATGTTCAGGAAACACTATAAACAAAAAAGAGAGAACTCAAGAACTGACCATTTAGGAGATAAGCCATAATGTGCAGAAAGTAACCTTAATAAAACATAACTTTTAATGTAATCATATAAATATTTAAAAAACTTGGAAACCAATATAGTGAATCCAGTCAATGTCTGTGGTAGGTAAAAAAAAACCTACAAGGAATAAGAGAATATCATATTTAAATTGACAAGCAATGCAAATAAAATAATATTAAACAAAAATTATTATACAAAAATTGAAAAAAAGATACGATAAGTCAAAAGCTGTTTGCTGTAACTCAGTAATTTAGTGGAAATAATAGCACTGTAAGCTGAGATGTGCAGAAGAAATATATAGACTGAAAATAAAGTAACAAAAGTAACACTTGTCTACTCACTAATTAACCAGGGAGAGAGAGATGAAACAAAGTAGCAAATTACTTGGCAGCGCAAGGTGGAGCCCTGCAGGGTTAAGATAATGAAAATACTGATTTTCCCTACTCTGCTGTGCCTTCGAGAGCACCCCTTAAAAAAACGCTATTCCCCCCCACCTCCTTTCTGGAGCAAAGACTGAAAGTCCTAGTGAGAACAGAGAAGCTATAAAGGCATCTAGTAGGTAAAGTTGGCTGAGTCATTAACAACAAACAGAAAAAAAAAAAAACTGTTAAAAAAAGAAATATATGGTATGGGTGGTAATATCTTTTGTAGAATTGATATATGTCATCCCTCATCTCTAAACCAACACCATACACTACAGTCCTGATGCGCCTTACGGCTCTTTCAGGGGTACTGAATTTAATAATACAGAGGTTTTAAATAAGGCACCTCTGTCATTGATTGGATGTTCGTTTACCAATCAGTAAGTAGATAACGAACTCTGGGTGGAGTTGTGTAGGGGCTATGTGTTAACCTATGAATGCATTATCTCTATGGAAGTACCATTGTTAGAGTATATGTATTAACCCTATGTGTGCATTGTATCTTTGCAATAGGGAAAATACCATTATTGAAATATAATGGAGGAGCATAATATGTATTCTGTGGGAGTATGTTGCCATGATACTTTATCTCTTATACCGAGATGAATGGCTGCAGGGGATATTTGGTAACTAGATACTATAAATTTATTAAGAGGAATAAACTGTTGTAAACTCTCATGGCACCAATTTCAAACGTGTATTCAAAGGGGTACAATGTATGAATTGCCAAACCAGCTATTAAATTGCACCCACTTAGCGCTGAAAGTGTGAAGTCCGTTTGAAGGTCGTGACATGAAAGGGGCTGCCCAAAAGTAAACGTTATTAATAATAATAAGAGATGGAATTAAGATTAAGACTAAACAAACCATCAATTGAGTTCAAGATAAACACCAGAGGTGAAATAATAATATCCCAAGTTTACAAGTTAGCCTTATATATATTCTGGAATTATTCCCACTATGTGAGGTCGCTAAAAGACCAAACATATTAATATCCCCAGGTTGCACATGAGCCCTATGTGTATTCAGGAGTTATTTCTTCTGAATGAAATTTACAATGCCTTTTAGAATACATACTTTTATAATAACAAGTCTATTGGTAGTTCATTAAGAATCAATAGAAAAAAATCCCCTTATGGTGATAAGAGCGATGACAAAGATGTTTAAGACTGGGTCCATTTAGCCTGATAATATTTTATATGTAAAGAACTTATTCCTTAATCCTATAGCAGTTATGGTATACAATATTAATTGATAGGAAAATTCCTCAGTTACAAACAACAACCATTATGCACAAAAGTATTTACACAATAATGCAAGCTGTTTCCAACTTTTTGCTCTGAGCCTAAGATGATCATACAAAAGGATATTAGTAGAATAAGGCTATATTTAAATATAGGGAAGAAAAACCTATTACAAAATATTGATAAGGCTAATAATAATCTGGAAATTAATTCCAGGATGATCCTGTATTGTTAGACATTCTTCTAAGGGATTAATGGTCACAAAGTAGTTATTGGTGAGAGAGCAACCATAATGGAAACTAAACAGATAAAGAAAAATACCAAGACCAAATAAAAAGGAACTAAAATTACATAGAAAATTATATATATTCAAGAGTGAATAAATGGGGTGAAATTAAACTCTTCGTTCAATCCTTTTGGAAAAAGGGTTTGAAACAAGTAAATCCAGCGTGATTCTGCCTTTAATAATAGATGATTTATATATTGCCTTTCCGATGGTTTAGTTATAACTCTGGGGTTATTATCATTGTTGAGCCTTACATGTCTGGCCACTGGAGTATCAATATTAGGATTTGTGATTGAATTTACATGTTGCAAAACTCTTCGTCAAAGTTGCTGGTACGTTTTGCCAATATATTGAAGGCCACACTTACACGTTATTAAATACACAACATATGTAGAGCTGCGATTTAAAAATGCGTTGATGGTAACCTCCACATGAGTCTGTTTACTGACTACCATTTTGTGTGGGTGATGAAATCGCATGCTTTGCAGTGCCCACATTTATAGAGGCCCTTAGTTGGTTGGAGCCAGGTAGCAGGTGTACATGGTAAATTTGATGCCCTTCTAAACGTCATGGAAGGATGTGATAGTATAGTGTCATTAAGTAAAACATTGTGTCGTAGGTGCCAATGAACGTGGTAGGGCCTTGCTCAGTAGAGTTCTGATGTGGAGTTCTATGTAGACTCTCAGATCTATCTGATGCCTTACCCCTTTGGTAGGCTTTCTTGAGTAACCCAACTGTTTGAATCTCAGTTTTAGTTCCTTGGCTTCTTTCTCAAAGTCTACTGGCTGTGTACATAGGGGATGTTGGTTTTTAGATGCTTAGGGTGATGGCTGCGCCAGTGTAATAGGCTGTTGGTGGCTGTAGGTTTTCCATGCAGTGTGGTGGTAATCTCTCCGTGTTCTAATATGTTAATCTTTATATCCAAGAAAATCAATTCTTTTTCATCTATAACATGGGTAAGACGCAAGTCAATATCATTGTGATTTAATTCATCTACCATCTCTTCAAATAATGTTATGGGACCAGTCCACAGAATCAAAATATTGTCTATAAATCTGTACCATTTATGAATGCACTCCTTATATTTCAAGTTTAAAGTTGTATACACACAGGTTTCCTCCCACCAACCTAAGAAGAGGTTGGCGTAGCTTGGTGCGCAAGACGAACCCATTGCGTTACCCTTTATCGGGAGATGATATTTTCCATTAAAAGTAAAAAAATTGTGTGTTAACACAAACTCCCGTAATGATAAAATAAAAGTCTGTTCTGAGGGATTATAACGACAGTTTTTTGTAAAAAAATAAGCCTTTTAACATGAGGTATGTTGTTGTACAGGAACACCACGTCTAGACTTGCCAGTAATGTATTTGGAGGGACAGTGATATTTTCCAGTGTAAACAGGGTTTGTTTAGTATTCCTGATATAAGAGTCCAATTCGATACCAAGGCTGTAATAATTTATCCAAATATTTACTGGCTCTTTCTGTCAGGCTCTGGTTCCCTGAAACCATGGGTCTTCCTGGAGGGTTCGTCAAGTTCTTATGCACCTTTGAGAGGCAGTAAAAAGTTGCTATGGTGGTGTTGTTAGAAGACACTATGTATTTGTATTCATTGGTAGTTATAATCTTATCAGTAAGAGCTTGTTGTGCTAATATTCTTAATTCTGTCAGAAACCTAGACATTGTATCCCCTCTAAGTTCTTGATAGTTAGAGGTATCCAAAAGGTGTACCATAAACATGTCAATGTATCGTGCTTTGTTCACAATTCTAAATTACTGAGTTATAGCAAAC